CCTGAGATCCTTGGCTGAGATGCCGGGGATCAGACCCAGGGCCGCCTGCAGCACAAGAGGGTGCTTGACCAGTGAGCCGCACAGCCCCTCGCACAGGTCGCACGCATGGGCCGGTGGGGGGGGGAGGCTCCCCTCATGCCTGGCGTGGGGCTGCCTGTGCTGTGCGGGGATTTGGGTCCCTTGCAGGCCTTCCCATTGACCTCTCGACAACAGCAAATCCTCCTGAAACCAGACTCCCGCCTTGTGTGACGCGCAAGTACGCACAGTCAGCCAACTGCAAGTTATGCAACCCGGTTGCATAACCTGGAATTCCTCCATAACCAACCGAGTGCCGCCCAGCCTGCATTTGTGGGGTTTCCGGGTGTGGCCCTCACCGCCTGGTGACCTTTGGAGGACTCCCGGAGTTTCGAGGGCTTTGCTGCAGGGCGAACGCCCCGATTGCCCTCCGTGGGTGTCCTTTCCCCTTCTGGGACTCCGGCCTTCCCCCAGCCCTGCTGCTGCCCGGCCTCTGTGCCTGGGGGGAGGAGGAGCCTGGGAGGGTGGCTTCTTCGCACACGCACAGCCCAGCCGCCGCCGCCGCTGCTGGCCTCTGGCTGGCCCAGGGGCAGCTGTGGATCTGTGCCCGCTCATCCCCACATGCTCGTCACCCCTGTCGCAGGCATCGAGGGGCAAAGGCGCACATGTGCATGGCTCTCAGCGGCACCCTTGAGTTGGAGACTGAGCGGTGGCACCCCCAAGGGGTGGCCGCTCCTGTGAACTCCGCAAAAGGCAAGGGGGTTCTGCTGAGTCCCGGCAGTGGGCTGAGGCGGCACCCCTCAGGAGGGTGGGCAGGGAAAGGGGGGCCCCAGGTGAGGAACGGGAGCGGAGGGACCCTTGGGAGCACCCACGGCAGGCAGCCCCCCCTCTCGACCCAAGCCTGTCCCAAGAGGGAGCCCACACACACCCAGCTCGCGCTCTCTCTCCACGCTGGGAAGACTGGCAGAGAAGATGCTTGCCGTATATCGTGGTCAACAAGCACGACAACACCGTAAACACATTCCTTCACATCATAAGAAAATCCTGGTGTGAAAATACATCCTCAACGTCGCAGTAGTACAAAAGCTCTACTGCTCATAAAGTGCTTTACAAAAAATCAGGAGAGAGAATATATTTAGAAAGGACGCTGATCTCGGTATTGAGGCTCAGATATGCTGCTAATCTTCCGATGGATCCCAGGTGTCTCAGAGCTTTTGTACTACTCTAACATTTCCTGAGGAGGATGCAATTTTGAAACAATGTTATATAATCCGGAGACGATGATGTTGAGGATGTATTTTCACACCAGGATTTTCATATGATGTGAAGGAATGTGTTTATGGGGTTTTCGTGCTTGTTGACCATGATATACAGAAAGCATCTTCTCTGCAAGTCTCGTTGACGGCCTGATCTGTGGGTCAGAGTCTCACGACTGGTTTCTCAGCAAGCCCATATGAGCCAGAGGTGAGGTTGCAGAAGTCCATCCATGCTGACTTCTCCCCAAGGCTGAGACGGCAAAGGGGCCATTTGTAGGGGTGGGACTGTGTGGTCCAGTACTGTGGCTTGACAAGAGAGGCAAGACTGGACACAACGTTCACGTCCACAGTTAGGAACCAGGCTTTCTCCCAGAGAAGCTGCTTAGAGCCAATTTAGTGTGGTGGTTAAGTGCGCCGACTCTGATCTGGGAGAACCAGGTTTGATTTCCCCCCCTCCTCCACTTGCACCTGGCTGGATGACCTTGGGCAAGCCGTAGTTCTGGCAGAGCTGTCCTTGAAAAAGAGCAGTCTCTGTCAGAGCTCTCTCAGCCCCACCCACCTCACAGGGTGTCTGCTGTGGGGAGGGGAAGGGAAAGGAGTTTGGAAGACGCTCTGAGACTCCGAGAGAAGGGCCATGGGGTATAAATCCAGTCTCCCCTTCTCTTCTCCTCCTCTCCACTCCTTGGTGTCCTTCATGAGCGACAGTCAGGACCTGAGCCCCACAGACCAGGAAGCAGAACAATCCTGGCTACTTGTAGGGACAGGTTTGTGTGGGTGGCTGTCAGTTCCTGTTGGATGCCAAAAAGAAAAGAAAAAAAGAAGGTGGCTTGTAAGCGGGCTAGGTGATCAGGGGTGAACTTGTCAGACACTTGGAGACCAGCATGCCGCCACCCACTCTGGGTGCCTGTAAGTGCAAGCTGCAGCCGGGGATCCGTGTCTGCGGGTTCTGCCATCTGTGGTGTCCCGGCTTTGCAAATGGCGCACGAGACGTAAGGAAGACATACACGATCTTTTGCAAGTCTGGCAGCTGTAGGAATAAGGGAGGTCTTGGCAAATAATCCGCAGGATGAGACATCCGTGTGTGGAATCACGGCCTTGGAGTCCCCGCATCCCGCGCGCCATCCGGACGGGTGGCTGGAAGGAAGGCCGTGGCGAAGAGAGGGGGCAGCAGCTGGTGATCCGTTCGGATCTTGAAGGGGGTGTCCAAAGTATGCAAACAGCCCCTCCCCCCTCCCCCCCCCACGAGACAGCCAAATCCTGCCTTTCTGTGTGCAGAGAGCGACACTCGGCTGCTGAGAGAGCTTTACAGTCTTTGGTTATGGGGGAACTCTCAGCCCTCCGAATCTGCTTGTGCCAGCGTAGCTCCGAGCCCCTCCGGGGAGCAAAGGGCGCCAGGGTTGGGGGTAACCAGAGAGAGGGATGTCTGGAGGCGAGAGCAGGCCGGCCCAGGGTTGGCTGTCCTGCTGGTGAGTTCTCTTGAGGAACAAGCAACAGCTGTGAGGCGGGCATGAAATGCCAACAGTGTGTCGACAAGGCCGAGCAACCTTCTGGGCTCACAGGAGGCATGTGGCTGGCAATTTCTTTGGATCAGGAGAAATACCGTTGGCAGAGAAAACGTATCTGGGGGAAAATCTAATGTGCACCACAACACTATACCCGCACGTCTCAGATTTAATGCGAGATGCCACTGTTGTAGCCAATCCACAGAGCAGCTTCAGGTCTGTCACTGTGTTCCTGCCGAGGGGTCCCAAGCGCACATCGCTGAAGGAGAGCGACCCGGCGAGTCCAGCCATTGTTGCTCCCGCTGTTCCAAAGGTAGCGTGAGCTCCCCCTGTCGAGGCGGCTCGTGTCTCTGCCAGCTTGCAGGCATGAGCGATATCTAAGGTCTGTCTGTGGGAGTGTCAGGCCTGGAGGATCCCTCAATATTTGCAGTCTGGGGTGAGAATGGAGGCTTCCCGGGCAGCATTTGCGCTCACACGTTTTCCGTCTGCATTGCTGAACTCACCGGATGCAGCTACATGCCTCAGACTCATCCGTGCACCCTCCATGGTTCTCTTTGGCCTAGGACAATGTATGCATCCTCAGAACCATTGGGGAAATGCTCTGTTAGCGCCTCGTGGGCTTTGCTGCAATGGCCACTCCCTGCCGCTGGCAAAAGTGTCCTACCCCTGCTCCCCAGCCCGGGGCAGGAGGAGAGAGCCCACTTTCAGGCAGCACAGCCCGGAAACGGCTTCCGGCCACTGGGGAGCCTCTCGCTCCATCAAGGGCCTCCCAAGAAGCGCGGCCACAGCGATCTGTGCCTCATTTGGAAGAAGAGAATGCGGGCAGGGCCTCTTCTCCGCGATTGGGGTCCCCGCGCCCGCCCTGACTTGCTTGAGAAGAGGCGGCAGCCAGTTTGCCTCAGTCCATGGAGGGCTCAGTGTGAGTCCTTCCTGCAGCCCTCCAGGAGCACGCAGGGCCACTTTCTTTGGCAGGAACCAAGAAGAGAACACCACAAGGACTGGAGATTCCGGTCCCCTGGAACCAACACGGGACATGAAGCCGACTGCTGGACATGACGGCAAACACCGCGGCAACGGAAGGGGCTCTGCGGGACACCGCGTGGGGAGGACCAGGCTCTGCTTCCCCCCGCCCCAAGCCCAACACCCTGCCTCTGGACCTGATCCGGCGGGGCCCCTCCCCTGTGCCGTGGCCTTGGCCCCTCTCCCGAGTCCCCCGGGGAGCCCCCTTGTGGGCTTGGGGCTGAAGAGGAGGGGGGGTGCTTCAGGCCCGCCACTTGCCCCCCCCCCGGCTCCTATCCACGTGTGCCGACGCTCCGCCATCCCCACCGCACGACAGTCGGGCAAATATTTACTGGCGGTGGCGGGAGGCTGGGGTGGGTCAAATGAGTCAGCAGCTGGAGGGCGTGGGAAGCCAGGTGTGCACCACAGACCTAGACAGCAGCTGGGGGGGGCCCGCTTCCTCGCATGCCTCAAAAGCAGGAGTCCAGAGTCAGGACATCTGCATTTCCATTTCTGGGGGCTCGGCCTGAAGCTCATTATTCTTCATCTCTCTTTACAAACGTGCTGGGCACTTGGTGCTGAGGGGAAGACACTCTGTACATGCTCAGTAGTCTGATGCCTCTCAAAGCTGCCCCGGTAAGAGCAACCCCCTCCTTGCCCACCCCACCCTGCTGCAAAAAAACCCCCAAGGGCACCCCTCCTTCCTTCCCGCCCTCCCTCCCTCCCCGTGAGCCATTCTTGAGTCAGGGCTGTTCCACCTGCCGCTGCCCCCCCCCCGGTCGTCTGGCATCCGCCCCCTGTAACGGCCAGCTTGGATCCGTGCGTGGCCATGTGGGGGCCAGGGGGTGGGGCTTGTCTTCTGCGGGGAGAGGTGCCGGCCCCGGGCCTTCCTGGACTCAGAAGTGGCGCCCCCTAAAGCCAGATGTTCTTCCTCAATGGCAAAGCAACTCTGCACACACCCAGAAGCCATGCCACGCTGCCACTGCTTCCCCTGTCCCCCTCGGGCTGGCAATTTCTATGTGGGTAGAAAGGAAACAAACAACCGTGATGTATTGTGCCAAAAAAAAGTCTTCGCAGACTTGAAAGGTATCCAGTGTACTTGAAGCAATCCCACCAGACGGCAGCAAGAAAGGCTCCAAAAGATAACACATGGGAACCATCCACGGGTGCTGATGGAGCTTGGATTGCTTCCAGTGAACAGGATGCTGGGAAAAGAACTTTCCGTGAAGACCTTTCTTGGCACGACACGCGTCACGGCTGCCTCTGCCTCCTCTCTGCCCCCACCCCGTGGTCTCTCTCCTTGGTCGGCAGCCTCCAGGTGGGGCCCCGGGGAGGCCCGCGGGGTCATGGCCGATCTCCAGGGGACATGGAGGGCAGGTCTGCTGGAGAAAGCGGCTGCTCTGCGGGGTGGGCCGGATGGCGCTCTGTACCACTGAGGCCCCTTTCCCCTCCCCCCAAACCCCAACATCCCCAAACTCTACCTCCCCCTCCCCCCCTGGATCTCCCAGAATTTCCCGGGCGGAACGACGCACCCCCCCCCCCCGGGCAGGAACCTGACCAGTCGAAGGTAGGCTGCCTCTGGGCATGGAGGTTCTCTTTGTGCCTCCTGGCCAAGAGGAGCAGTGGCAGGGCTTCTCAAGCAGGACTGGGGGGACCCAGTAACCCCTCCCCACTCCCTGCTGTTTCCCGAGGGAGGTCTCGCACCCCATCACCAAGGGGGTGACAGACAGGGGCTTTCTGAGGGCCTTGTGGGAGGGGGGATTTCGTGATGCAGGGAGGGCAGGAGCAAAGGGGAATGCCGCTGGTGCCCGAGGAGGAGGAGGAGAGTCCCGCGTTGTGATCTGAGCCACGGTGGGAGAGCCAGACACACACCCCCCCCCGGGGAGGAGGTCTAGTCACAGTTGTTGTTCAGTCGCACAGTCGAGTCCGACTCTTCGCGACCCCATGGACCAGATCACGCCAGGCCTTCC